TTAGAGGGTGATTAGACCTTTGCCAACTTTGCTACGTTTCATTCAAGGAGACATGGTGAAAATGTGGAAATATTAGAGATAACAATCAACATCATAGTCTTACTATTCGATGCATTAATTTCCGCGGTGGTAGCAATACTTACCTACAGAAAGTACATACCAGTAAGCTAAAAGAACTAAACAAAGAAGAATAGGGATAAAATCCAGCTCAGAATTCTACATGATAGGTGCCAACACTGTTAGAGGTATCGACCCCCAATGTATTCCGTGGGACCTGTCAATGGCCACGAACCCACAAGGCTCAGCCAATGACTTTATCATGAAACATCCACGAGAACTGTCAATTTGATGTAGGCACAGACCTGCACTAGACCTCAACAAAGTGGTAATGTTGATATCCTTGTGTGTAGGTAAGGCACAGCCCTCTACGCGATCTCAGGTGGGCTACGGAGAGATGGGGGTCGACGGCTGGAGAGAGGAAGAAGAGAAGAAAAAGAGAAGAAGAAAGATGGGGGGGAGGCCTTTTATAGGGTCACTTCCCACGTACCTTCCTAAAATGGACAGCCCTTTGCTCTTTCCATTCCTGTCAAGTTTACTTAATCGCACCTTCCAACCTTGGGTCTTTCCATTACTTCCCTTCTCATCCGGACTTATTCATAGAGCACTCACGAGACACAGAATCATAGGCTTACTTGCAGGTTATAGGAATGGGTATACCTATTGTTGATTTCCTCTCCCACTTCTTTGGCTTTTTCTTTCTTCAGTGCTTAGGCCTTATCATTCTTTGCTCACTGATTAGATCTGAACATGCTCTGATCATCACCTGAGTGCTCTGATTTGCTCACTGAGTCTGAGCTGAGCCTAGGGGTGAGTAGCCTAAGCTACATCAATAAAATGCAACACGCTGATTCCGTCACGTAGACCACTTCACTTTTAGATAGCAACCCTAGTTGTATAAAAGAAAGGCCTGGCATTACCGGTATGATCTTCAATCCTAGAAATTGGCTGCAATCAAGTGCGCTAGAACGGACCTCGGGAGCTTGCTACTCGGTCACCCAAATCAGCATTGCCATACTATTCTCGATGCTCCTATGTCTACTCGGTCCCATGATTTCTTAATCAGGTTTTGGAAGACTATCGGAGCCTATGATATTGGGTCAGTCTACTAGGGAATAAATCTGACTGAACGTCATAATTTGGTTTCAAAGCAGAGCTCGGGCAATATCCATGCAGGTGGCTACCTAGGTAGGTATGACTCTGAACTCGTATATCACCAAACAACTCGAGGGCCATTCTCCAAACAAATGATGATGACATCAATGGTGTTCTAATACCAGAGCATGTTGAACGGTATCAAATTCTGATAGATTATATTGACTAGCCAAATAGAAAACGAGCACATGTATGGAAGACAGGATAGGAAATTGTAGGATACAAGTCAGGGAAGCTATAGATAGTGGGCAGGAACTTCAGGCCAGGCATCGACGCCATCTAGCAAGACCATTCCCATCCCCGACATGAAGTGCGTCTCCATATGGCAATGCAAGAGGAATGGCCCTGGGTTCACAACCTGGTAGCGAATAGCAATCCAGGCTTCTCCGTTCGGCGCGGTCACAAAGGTGTCGCGGTACACAGGCGTTTTGAAGAAGCTGCCCGGGCTGCTCTCTTTTGCTTCTTTGATAGAGCCCCATGTGAACTTTCCCATTGCACTACCAATCAAAAATGCCTTGTTGGAATGCTTGTGCATTGGGTGTGGTGGCTGCAGCTTGGTTGGCTCTGGGATAGCAAGTTGGAACACAATGTCTACCCAGGTGCCATTCAGAGTCTCAATCTTGAGGGCAGAATCCAGGCCGGGTGCTTTGGGATTAAGAAGAACTGGTTCCATTTGGTTCAAGTTGGCTGGTAGGAAGGTTGTTCCATCCAAAGTCCATTCCCAGGATGAGTTAATCCGCCCAAGGGTTAGAAGATGGAAGGCATCGCCATCCTCTGCAGGTAAGATGGCAGGATATGGCGGTAGGTTGGTTGTTTTCAGGTCGATCACAGAGGCTGTGGTGTTGCTACCACCGTAGTCTATGTATGCCGTTGATTCCCGCTTGTTTTGCTCGCCGCCCTCGTAAGCGAGAGTGGCGTAGCCAGAGATAACCTGGTTGTCATGACCAGCAACACGGATCGTATAGCTTGCAGGCTCCTTGTCCAACTTGATCATCGCAGAGTAACGCTCTCCACTGTAAATTGAAACTTTATGGGCAAGCTGGGGCTCAATGTAACGTCCATCTACCTCGTAGATGTACATCGGGTGCTCATCAATGGAGAAAATCAATGATTTGATGCTGGCTGCACTGACGAAGTTGAAACTTGCCCATCGATCGGCAGGTGTCACTTCAAAGACTGAGTTCGGACCCTCACTGGGGATACATCCAGAGTTCAACCCCTCAGGAAGCTTCTCTGGGTGGTGCTCCCAGTTACCCTGAAGAACTGGCATGAATGGATCACATCTGGTGGGTGTTAGTGGCTTTCAACCCAGTGGAGCAAAGAATAGACTCACCCCTTATCCGTCAAAGGCTCAGTTATGATTGCTCTGACCTGCGGCGGCTGGAGGCTTGTCAGATAATCAGGGTCTTTGCAGTATACGGAGCCTGCGCCATTGACGAGAATGCTATCCGAACAACTAGTAACTGTGAGCGTCGCCCTTTGCCTATCATATTTGGGCTCTTACAAGATATCATAGCCTGTGTCTCTGAGAGCATCCATATACTCATTGGACGGCAGGTGGTCCCAGTCAGACATCATGACCAACTGGGCATCATGAGCAGCTTTGGTCATGGCCTCAATATCGGCAGGGTCATCAGAGATCAGTGAGAAAGGCGATTTTCGGTCGGCAGATGGACTAATTCTCTTATTAGAACTGCAACCAAGCCATCATTCTGCGCACTCACCGAATACGAATGCCACCGTAGAGACCGTCCATTATTCTGTCTTTGTCGTGGGCATGGTACCAGTACGTACCATAAGTCGTGGCTTTCCACCTGTACCGGTATTTGTCACCAGGCTTGATAGCCCATTGCGATAGACCTGATACTCCGTCCGCCCATGGGGTGTTGGTTTGCCTGGAGTAGTTCAGTTTTGTGCGGTTCTCTGGGAGTGGTTTTGCCGGAGGCCTTACTCAATGCCATGGAAATGGACCGATGTATTGAAGGGCAAGTTGTTGGTCACATCTATCTATTTTTCTTAGCATGGATCGGAGGGAAATGCAGGATTAGACCCACTGTGATTTCATCTCCTTCATCCATAATCAATGGTGGGCCTGGGAAACGATCATTCACAAAGATCATCTCTCTTTCATGTCCGTTGGGTGAGCCCCTTTGCCAGGTGAGGTCGAGATCATAATGAACCCTAGCTGCCCGACTAAGGGCAGCAGCGCTCAGTAAAGTCAGGAACAACGACTTCGTGAGTGTCATTTTTTCGAATTAGTGAGTGTGAACCTGGTATTGAAGCGACAGACTTTTGCCGCCAAAGACGCGTCTGTCACGTCCCTGTCAGTCTTATAACCAGACTGCTAAGCTCCTGCATATTTGCCAAGCCACCCACTCCTCGCATTCCTCCGGTGTTGTTGAAACCAGCAGGCCCTTGCATTGAACATTGTTGCCAACCACGAGAACTTGATTTCGGTCTCAATTCCGGTGCATAACACTGATTGCATTCAATCAAATTCCATACAAATTGCCATATCCGGGTATTAGTTGTATGACTGAGATCCAGAACTTTCAGTCTTAGATGCAATGACGGTTGAAGAGATCATGGTTATTTTTGAGGTCGCTGCAAATAGCCCATGGAATCAGAGTGATCAGAATCTGGCAATTAAACATAGATTCAATATTTACGGAGTATTTGTTGTCTTGCTGAAAGCAAGGAAGGTAGCAACAGGTATCTGGCCATATCCCAGTTTGTTTCGTCGGGTTTACCGATTAGCAAGGGAGGACCAGAACACAAAGCTCCCTCAATCGCCATTAGTCAGAATGGTAGCAATAGCCTTTGGTCATTTTGGATTTGTAGCTCTTGTTCACTGTAGTAAGATGCTCTGTCGTGTGCAAGATAGGCAACCTATTTTGAAACAGCACCCAAGGGCCATTACATAAACTATGTAGTCAAATTCCCAATATAAGAAAAGGGCTGAGAATCTGAAAGGATCTTGAAAATAGAGAAAGCTATTCCAGAGGATTGAAAGGAAAATAATTCCAATTTATATATCAATTCGATATGGCCTGCTGTTCTCCAGCTCCTCCTCGTGGCAGATGGGCTTTGATGCGCTCTATTCACGAAGCTTCTAGCCATAGCTTCTAAGGTGGAGGAACCTTTATTTGATTGTCGTCTGTAATATTTGAATGCTCCTCTCCTGCTACTGCATTAAACTAATAGCCCTCATTTTCTAGACTACATTCTCCATTTCCAGTTTGAAAACCTCAGTTCCAAGCTAATTGCTCGAGCGTACTCAATTTCCACCATGAGTCACAACTCCGTCAGCAACTTCCAGCCTACTAGCAGGCCATGGATCGAATTCATTGGCTCTCCCCTAGAGGATATCGTTACTACCGGCAGCAGAAATCGAGTACCCGGGGACTGAAAGCCGATAACCTCTATCAACGCTTATGATACATATAATATGGGTGCTTATTGATTGAAAAGATGGAAGTCCAGTGCCCACACGACATCGCTGCGTTAGAGAGTGACCGAACCTTCATACTCAAGAAACATGGGTTATAGCAAAGGGGAGGGCTTCAATGAGCAGGCCTTTTCATCATCTTCATGATTCGACTTGATGATTAGAAGGCCTAGATAATACCTGAAATGGGGGTAACAGGACGGAAAACAGGATTTCTGTTGTTGCATTCATATATACAATTCGAACAATGTACCCTTTCAACCTCCAATCCGAAGCAGTATGCTGTACAATGTGCGAGTAACGATTAATAGAGCGAAAACTGGGACTACGCAATCCCAGATCAAACCAACACCCTCCTCAATCCATCAGTGCCTCCAAGCACTCTCCTCCCTGTGACGGGACACCTCCCCTTGCCACTCTCCCATTTACCAGATCGTTTGCGGGGGCCTTCTTCGGCATTATCTTCACTGTGGCTCTTCTTCGTCTCTTCATCGTCGCCTGTGATTTCCTCTTCCCACGGTGCGCCAGCGCCCTCGCCGGTCATGAAATCGAGTTGGCGCTGGTGCTCACCGTTCAGCCAGTGGAAGATGCACACATAGCAGAACACGTATCCCGTCTGGCAAGCAGTCGGGTTAACGAGCGCACCCATGCAGACGGGGCAAGTGTTGGCGCTCGAGGCATCAGCCGGAGGCAATGATACCGTGTAGATAGGAAGGTAAGAAGTCGCGGAGATGGGAGGTTGGTGGCGACGAGGAGGCTTGAGGGCGGGTTTAAGATCACCGGCACCGCTCTTCTTCTCCTGCTCGGCCTGCTTCTTGGCCTTTTCTTTCTCGTCTTGGATTGACGATTTCCGTCGTTCCGCGGGAGAAGTCAAGCCTGCCACGACAGGTGCGGGCAGATCCAGGACCTCGGTTGCCTTACGCGCCAGTTGGCGAGAGAAGTCACTTGCATGCCACCATTCTAGGAACTTGAGGGCAAAGATCGACGCGGGAAGGAAGTAGCGCAGCGAGCCCAAGAGTTGAGTATGAAGGTTCTGGGGACTAAGGAGACCCAGCAGACCTCCACCGGGTCTCTGAGATCGCCCGGTGCTGGGGCCGGGCTTGGGGTCTAGCACTGCGGCGATGGCACGGTGGTCTGCGGTGCCGAGGCGGCGGATGCGTGTTCCGATAAGCCACAGGAACGGAGAGGAGTACTTTGTGTTGTCGAAGAGGTAGGCGAGGTTGAACGCCAGAACGGAGAAATAGTATGCCGCATTCACGGATGGGTAGACGTTGCGCAAAAACCACTTGTAGTAGAAGAACAGGCGCTGGCGCAGCGACGGGTTGGCCGGGAGGTCGTCGCTAGGGTTATATCGTGGGCCGCTGGTGACCAAGGAGGCATGTGGCGCGACATGAATGTCATATCCTTCGTCTAACCTGCGTTTGATGTAAGGAATGCCAACCATGACGAACAAGTTCTTCCAGATGTCCGTCGAGTGTAGCTTGAGGGCCTCGCGGACGGGGCCTGCGGCGCCGACCTGGGCGCGCGGGATCTCGCCATTCTTGGTGCGCAGAACGCGCTCGCGTTTCAGGGAATAGAAGTTTTCTGTGAAGGAACCGCCGAATGTTCGCAAGTAGTAAAGTTCGACTATTAATGAAAGGAGGGCGTAGACTTCGTCGTATGAATTGAGGATCCGGAGGAGGTAGCGCGGGTGGCGGTGTGTTGCGACTGCGAGAAGATAACGCAAAGATGGAGGAAGGAGATCGGAAAGCTGTTGCTCAGCGAGGAGTTCTGTCGTTGAGCATAATCTCCGCGTTAGCGATTCCAATCATGTATGGGGTTTCCCCGTGTCTGGGGTGAGTCTCCATCTCCGCGGGGAAATATCAATCGACTTACCGAAGAGCGAAGGCTTATGCTCATCGAACTCCTGTTGAAGACTAGGAAGGTACTCCATCGTCAGGAGTGTCAGTCATCCTTATCAAAGTGGGATTTGAAGGTGTTTTGAGAAGAGGAAGAGTCGCCGGAACTAAGTGATCATATGCCGAGGCTCAACTTATCCGAGCTGACTACGTCGCTCTCGGCAGGTCCCAAGATCCATGCCTTCATCAGAGAGCTAATTACAACAACTTCAATATTTAACATTAGATACGCATCGTAATATTGTACACTGAGAATATATGCTAGATTATTTTACAAATTGACCCCTCATCATTCAATTTTCCCGAGCAAGTGCCTCCTGGCACTCAGTCCAGAGCGGCATGTAGAAGCTCGGAGACACTTCTTCATCTCGGTTCTGGAGTGTCGGGTCTGCGACCAAAATACAATGCATGATGGCGGTCACGATTGGACCTTGTAGCACAATTACAGGGGACTCTCGATTCATCAATTCTACCCCCGTCGACAGACACTCGCGCGCTCGCACTTCCTCACCCAACTCGGCATGCAACGTGAACAGCTGCACGTAGTCCTCTTGTGTGCGACTGGCACCTTTCAAAGGAAACTGACGCCACAGACGCCAGAAGCCATCGTAATCCCCGCATTGGAATAATGTCACCATAAGCTGACGCGCGTCTACCACGTCAAATGGAACGTTGGCCGCCGCGAGTATCTTGGACAGTCGAGACAAGATTTGTTTCTGAGACTCAGTCTGTTGGACCGCAGAGGAACTTGGAGAACTGTCTTCTGGGCGCAATTCGTTCAGGCTCGAAAGTGCTGGATTGGGTGCACAGACTGCTTGATAGAGTACATTGAAAATTTTCATGTTCAAAATCGGCACACCACGGAGGCTCAAGCGATCCAGCACTAACAAAGCAAGCTCCATGTCAGCCTCTGGGGAATGAGTCTTAGACTGCTCGGTGATAACACCCGCTGTTCTCGGTGTTAGAAGCGCAGAAACAACGTCGAATCCAAGGTCATCCGGAAGGTCATACCCGTCGCGAAGAAAATCAGAGAATGTGCTAAAAAGGGCGTCCTTGGTGTAAGCTGGGTGTTGCCGAGACACAGCAATAGAAAACAATTTCAATCGAAAAGCGGATTTTTCCTGTGCAGAAAACCGCGCGGCGTGGTTGGTGTAGAAGAGCCGTAGAAAAAGAGTGGACTGGCGATCATTTGGGCCGCTCCCCAGCTCATTTCGTGCACTATCCGCCGGAAGTTCGGTGAGAATCTGAAGCAAAGAGGTTGGTGTCAATTGGGATGCAACTGCTGCTGCACCGCCTGGAAGTGTGGAAGACGAAGTTCTCAGGCTAGGGAGCCCAGCATCGAAACCAGACTCGGCGGAGTTCACGGCAGAGGATGCGAGTCTACGCATGGTATGGAAGCCTCTCCTTTGGCCAGGAATGGAGCCAAATCCATCGGACATAGACCTGGGGGGCGCGACACCAGTCTTGGATAAATCCTTCGTCTCCCGGATGTTCTTGCGCCCTTCACGGGCTAAAGTGGCTTCCCAGAGACCATCAAGATCAACATCAGCCCGCTTCTCCTCGGTGAAGATCTGGACAACCACGCTAGTCCCAACGTCAAGATTACCAAAACCTTCAATTCCAACATCGCTCAACTGGGTCGAAGTAGCGCCTTTGTCCACCATCCCCGCATTTACACAGATCCATCCCGTTGTAATTCCATCATCCTTTTCGTCGATCATTGCGCCTGCTGCACTGGCGGCGCGCGCTCGCTTAGCCTTACGGCGGAGTTTGATTTTCAACTCGTTGCGTCCAAGTAAGCCGTCGGCGTAGGGGGACAATTTGTATTGACTTCTCAGCCAGCGACAGAGACGATCCGCAGACACGTTTAAATGTTTCACACTGCGAGCAGTTCCGATGATCATGATGACATTAGCACCGAGAGCTGCAGGGATTTCGAGGCCGCGTAGGTCAAAAAGCTTGAGACTATCCAAGCCCAAGTCCTTATACGTATACTCCAATAGAGTCGAGAGCATCTCTGGCGAATCGTCTGGGATCTCGGGGAGATGGGCTTCGCTCAACAGGCGCTCTTTCATAATGGGCGCCTCTTCCTGCAGATACCAGGGGACATGTTGTGATGAAGCTGGCGTATTGGTTTCCGAGTGCGCTGATCGCTCTTCTGGTTCGGATAAATGAATGTCAAGCTGGTTCGAGGTTGGAGGGCGATCAGACCGCAGCAAAGTTACAGCGGAGAAAGCTCTGGGGTTGGAGATCGAACGGGAGGAAAGAGGAGATGATCGTGGCATGGGAATGCCGGAGACAGAAACAAAGGACCGCAGCACCTCATGCCGACAAGTCTGGCACGCGGCTCCTCGTAAGAGAGTCCTGCTCATGGCGATGGTTGTATTGGAAAAAGAATTGGGGATGAGTTCTTCCAACAGTTCCAATGTTCAGTTCTTCCAAGGTTGATTTGCTCCCATCGGGTGATATCAGATAACGGGAGCAAACACTGCAAACAGCTGAGTCATCGAAAAAAAGATTCAGGTGGGGGGCAATTATCACAAATCCACGGCGCTCTAAACTCTCTGTTTTCAATACCCTGGTGATTTTTTTAGTCTTGGATTTTGATTCCTAATTTTACTCAAAATGTCGATGGATCTGGATGATCCCGTCTATTTCACGCAGCAGGAGCAGGTCGCAGCGACGTGAGTTCTTATCGCAAACTTTGAACGTCTTGATTCCCCGCTAATAATTCCTTGCTGCTTAAAGAATTCTGTGCTGCAACTGTGGCGCTGCCATCGATGGAACACTCTCAGCTGGAGCCTTATGTTCGGATTGCATTCGTCTTACTGTCGATGTTGCCGGAGGTGTATGTACAACTCCATCCGTGGGCTTTGTCAAAAGAGACCTTCCTACACGCTTATAATTTGTTCCAGCTAACATGGACTCTCTTTGGATTATAGGTTCAACGCGAAGCCGTGATCCATTGCTGTAGGGATTGCGAACGGTGGCTGCAGCCCCCCAACAGCTGGGTCGTCGCAGCTCTCGAGTCGAAGGAACTACTCGCCATTTGTCTACGCAAGCTCCGTGGTCTGAACAAAGTCCGAATCATCGACGCCAGCTTCATTTGGACGGAGCCCCACAGCAAGCGACTACGTTTGAAGATCACAATACAAAGTTAGTTGTACCCCGCTGATGAAGGTCGAAGTATCGCCGATTCAGCACATCTAGCCGAGGGATCGAAGCTAACAACCCACAAGCGGAGGCCTTCCAAGGTACTATCATACAGCAGCAATTTGAAGTTGAATATGTTGTTGCCAATCAACAGTGTTCTGGGTATGCTTAAACCTCCCCCCACCCCCGCCCCAAAAGAAAGTTCCTCCAACTCCCCCCAACCATCTGCAACTATATAATATGACTCGAAAAGCTAGGGGAAAACGCTAACTCATTTTTCAGCTGTCAGAAGAGCTTTACGCATCACACTTGGGGCGCATCCATCCAGATCAGACAGAAGGTGCCTCATAAGCGGACTTTTATGTACCTGGAGCAGCTGATCCTTAAGCACAATGCCCACAAGGACACCGTCAACATCAAGGAAGTGAGCGAGGGTCTTGATTTTTACTTCTCAAAGAGGAACGAGGCCGAGCGCATGCTTTCCTTCTTAGAGGGCTGCATCCCATGCAAAGCCACGAAATCGCATGAATTGGTCAGTATGGACATTCATACGAGTAAATCGGTCTACAAACACTCGTGGTCTGTATCCATTGTTCCTATCTGCAAAGATGATCTAGTTGCTCTTCCGATCAAGCTGGCTCGTTCATTGTCTGATATAAGCCCGCTCGCTATCTGTCACCGGGTCGGCACTTCTATTAACATTCTGGACCCCTGCACTCTGCGGACCACCGATGTCCCTACTGCGGTTTACTGGCGCCAACCATTCCCGGCCCTTGCAGATATTACCGAGCTTAAGGAATTCATTGTTTTAGATATTGAATCCACCGGCATCTCTAATGGTCGTTTCCTCCTATCCGAGGCCACTGTTGCTCGTGCCTCGGATTTAGGATCCAACGATGTCAGCTATTTCACACGGACTCACCTCGGCGGTATCCTGCACGTGGGTGATTCCGTTCTCGGCTACCACTTGACTGGAACCCAGTTCAACAATGATCAGTTTGAAGCAATTGAGAATAGCCACCAATACGGTTCAACAATCCCGGATGTGGTCCTTATCAAGAAGCACTACGTCCGCAGCAAGAAGTCCAAGGCCCGCACCTGGCGTCTCAAGCGCATGGCTCGCGAGCACGAAGAGGAGGCGACTGCCGCCGTGGTCAATGTCCCCACAAACAAGCGCCAGGAGCAGGAGCAGGCCAGGATGGAACAGGATTATGAGATGTTCTTGCGTGACGTCGAGGAGGATCAGGAGCTGCGTCAAACACTTGATTTGTACAAGAACCGCCAGTACCAGGCCAGGCCAGACCAGATGGATGAGGATGATGACGTGGACGAAGAGCTCGCCGTGCCGAAAATCAACATGGATGATCTGCTTGACGACTTTGATGAGCTGAACATGGAGGACAATTAGTAGCAATCTGGCTGCTATCATGGAAGAAATCTGAATGTTATCATTGACGATCATGGATGGCACTGGGTGGCGTTTGTGTTTTGTGGGTTTTCAATAAACAAAAAAAGTTACTTAGTTTCAAATTTATACGTGCAATGTACAGCATGCAGGTTCAACACTTGAATTCTTCTACATGTAGGACATGGACATCTAATGTCAAGGTGTGTTGGGAGTAGATTGTACATAGAGGCAGTTTTTAGGGCTAATTTGTGGGGTTGAACATCAGAACATCCACTGCCCCCATGTGCATATAGTAGTGTATGGACCTTTTGTTGAGTTCCATAACAATGAGATTTAATTTGATTTAAACCTCCTTATTATGAGAAAGAAGACAAGTATAACAATCACAAGTTTACTATAGAATTGGAATAGAAGAATGCGTCGAGAATACAGAATTTGAGAACTTTGGAACATAGCAAACGTCGAGTCGAATTTACGAGATACCCTTGAGGTGAAGTTTTGTCAAACTGAATTTTACAATGGTATGAAGATGATGGCAATGCTTAATGTATGAGCTTTGAATTATACACATACAAAAAATCTCAAGACCCTTCCTCCCCAGCCCCCACAGCATCAAACAAACACAAAACGTACACCTCAAAACAAACAAACACACCGGACATAAAAGTACATATATGCGGCCCGCAGGCCCCTTTCACCATGACAGCACGGCCCTAATCTCCAACCACCCGCGAAACATACTTAAGCAGCGTGCTGTCTGTGGGAGCCTATTTGGCAACACAGACTCCGTGCTCTGTCCCATGAGTGTTTCTCCGGGCACCCAGAGTGGTGTTTCGACCCCGAGGCTCGCAGCGGCAGCCTTTAGGGTATTCGAGATTAAAGCGTCACTCGAATTGAGCCCGTCGACCTGCAACTTGACGGGAGCAGGGTCAGACGGAGTCAACTTCGCAGCGGCGGTTGACTAGCTAGTGAATGGGATGGTCAAGGTTTGAGGGGGTTCTTTTCTCTACGAATATGGCAACATTTAGGGAAGGAGCTACTCGCTTGGGCATCCAAGTTAACCTTTTAGAACGCATTTTACTAAGAGATAGCCACTTGACCATCTCTGTCTTAACAGCCCTTAGAAGGTCCCTATACAAAGGTCCTACGGTTTATGCTTTCATGTGCTTCTAAAAAGGCATCTAAAAAGGCCATGCAAAAACATATCTCAATATGTGTACCTTGTTCATTAGTATCAAGTTGCCAAATGTTCTGATACATCTATACCCATGGCTCTTTCCTAAAACTCACGGTAAACAGTACAAATCCCTATGTTACCATAAGCCAAAAACCGTTTTCCGGACATAATATACTAATATCATCGTTCCAACCTGGCCGAGAGGTTTCTATTAGAGTATTATACAATGTCCGAGTGTGTAAATAACAAGCTATAATAGTAGACAAGAAACAGTCTTTGTTCAAGAAAGAATAGACAGTGTCAACTAAGACAATGTCTAGTCCCAAACATGGAATGCGATTGGGAAATATTCAAGGACAGGAAAGAAAAAGAAGACACATGAGTGCATCTCATGCAATACGAGACGTATTTAGAAGATCTTTCCAAGTACCCGCTTCGCATCATCAGCCATAGCACCATCCTTCGATCCCTTAACAACCTCATTCTGCTGGAAATGGAACTTCCTTCTCGTAGACGGCGCAGCCTTCTTGGGCTGCGGCAGTTCCTTATCTCCATCACCAGCAGCCTCCAACCGCCTCTTCATCTTCTCCTCATTCTTCTTCGCCATGCCATCAGCAATGCGACCACTCTCAACACCCTCAATGAACAATTTAGCTTCCTTGGCTTCGCGAGCATCGGCAATCTTCCTCTTGCTTTCCCGCTCAGATCGCTCTCGTTGTACAGATTGCATAAGATCATCCCAGGTGAATCGTGAGAGGTACTTAATATTCCAAACATCATCGTGATACCCTATAATCATAGCATAGTCAGTATTCATGTCGAAATAGCAAGGACGTATATAAGGCGAAAATAGCCGGTAAACTCACAGCTTGACTTCAAACCACCCACGATAGTCGCATTCAATGTCTCGGCGCAGATCTTGGCTGTCTTTTTGGAGCGAAACTCGATCCATCCTTCCGTGTAGAGCTTTCTCTTATTCGAGCGGTTTCGATTGCCGGCCGCAGACGGGAGAAGAGGCGCTAGGAAGATCTTCGTGATATCTTCGAACCCTCTCTTTTCTAGCATTGCTTTCAAGGCGAAGGGTTTGAGGTATGGCGGGAGAGAAGAAAAGTATATGACACCTGATCGGGTTTTCTTGGGTGCTTTGCCGCTGGCCAGTTTAGACAGCTTAGCAAGCTTGCCCTTTGCTTTGAGGGACTTGGCTGATTTGGTGCTGGGTTGCGCTGAGTCGTCTAGGCTTGCGCCACCTTCGTCCTCGTTATCTTCGTGTTCGTCTTCGTTTTCGAGATCTTTGTCGTCGTCATCCTCGTCTTCGTCAGACTCCGCCGAGAAATCTTGCTTGGTTGTCCGTCGTCGCTTCACGGCCCGTCCTTTGCTCTCCACCACATTGGCTTCGGAGTCGTATCCGCGGTCGCTGCCGCTGGCCTCATCATCACTGGCCGCGATGTCTAGAAAATCGTTGTGTTTGCGAGTCGTCATTTTGTGGAATCCGAGTTGGTTGTTAGACTTGGTCGTGGGAGGCGGAAGTCTGCAACTTTTTTTATGCGGGTGGTCTGTGCCCTCGGGAGTTCCAAGGTTAGATCTACCAATCAGCCACACACCAGCCACATATCAAAGTCAAGAATTATCAGATGAATCTATGAGACTGTCCAGCTTAGAAGAAAGAGATTTTAATGAAAGGTAAAAGAAAATCTTTGAAATTTTGTACTGATATATCACTGAAGAAGCCACTCAGGCTCTGTATGTAAAAAGAACCCTCCCAGGGTATCCACGAAACGCCACAGAGAACCAGTATCAAGAGCCCTCATGATATATGCAAAGAAAGGGCAAAAAATTGAATATGTCACAAGTCTAATGGATCCCCAATGACACCTTTGCTCGCTCATAAACGTAGAAGCTCACTGCAACCATGGGCACAACCTTGGCATATCCGATGGTCAATCCGACCCAGAACCCTCTAAACCCTTTCTCGAGCCAGATCTTACGAGCCGTTTCTGCAATTCCAAGTCGGCGTCCGTCACCAACTGCACCACCAACTTGCATCCGCCGACGGATGACCTCCACTGGGTATGATGAAGTCTGCGAAACTAGACCGGCCATAGCACCGGACAGAAGCTCGGATGTGGTATTGAGCTGCGGTTTTTTGGTTCGATGCGCGGGATTTTCTGACTCTGTTGCTTTTCTGAGGGTATAGGGCGCCACGCTTGGGTGGCGGAACAAGTCACCCACTGTGTCATGGGTGAGGAAAGACATTCCGGCGTAAGGGAGCATCCCGAGGATAGTCGGGGAGAAACCGCGGTAGAAATTGGCAATTCCGGTGCGCGGTACTACTTTCGAAACGGCAGAGGAAGCGGTTTCGGCAACAGCAACGGAAGAAGATTGCGCGGCTGCCGCAGAGCGGGTTGTTGATGGGGGTTGCACACGCTCATGGTAGATTTGCCGCCATATATCCACCAATCCTGAGCGGTGCGATTGTCTAGTTTCGAACGCCATGCGCACGCGCATCAACTCTAGTGGATATGTGAAACATACAGAGGTGACACCTGCTAAACTGCCGGAGACCAAGCGGCGGAACGGGGTCTCATATTCACTGGAAGGAATAATAACTGCACGGATCTGTTCGTATGCAAGAAATTTTATGGCGGCGTATGGGAAAATTCGAAGCAGAGTCACTGAATGGCCCTTGTAAAGGCCTTTAACACCTTCCGTGCGCTTGATATCTCGAATCGCTGCTGCCAGGCCAGTCCAGCTGCCCGTGTACTTGGCGAATTGAGGATTTGACGCCTGGAAGAGAATCTTCACGCGGTCTAAAGGCGCTACAACGGTCTTTGCCTGTAACATCCGGCGCATCAGTCAGTATAGATTCGCAATGACCTAAAACCGATCGAAACTTACCGCACATCCCGCCAGCCCTCCTGCAATTCCACTCCTCATCACATAATCCAAGCTACGCTTTTGAATTTTTTGTCGCCGCTCTGTGGTTTGCTCATGGCGGCGGTATTATTTAACTCAATTGTAGCGCCGCCGATAGGCGACGATCCCGGCGATGCAGTCTTGTTCATCGGAGCGGATTGCGGAGTAGAGTCTGGGGATTTGTGTGGGTCATAGGCATGGTCCGAATGACCAGTCGACATGGAAGAGGAAGAGGAAAAGATGGGATTGTGAGAGCAACCGAGGCTCACAGGAGGGGTGAGAATATCCGGGGAGTCCTCGTGATCAGTTTCGGCGATAATCAGCCAGAGTTCTCGGGGTACCGGGCGATCTTCGGGACGATGCAACGTGCATGCAGACGCCTAAGAGTTGAGTGTATATTACAGCAAGCTTTAAACGAAGTTTGAAAGAAGAATACTGTGCAATGGCAAAAGGTGAAAGAAGAATAACGTTATGTGCTGTTTCCACTGACGTATTTGCGTCCGGGCAGTCCTAAATATCGTTACGAGCCTTGGAACATTATGACATGCCGATACCAGCGGCTCTCCGCGAATAAGCGGCGGATTACGGTACTAATACGCGGCCCGCAAAATCAGCGAGTCCCGAGAAGCCGGTTTGTCATCGTATTTTGCCTTTACTAAGCCAAATTGGGATATGTAGCCGGTATTCATTCAGCTTTCATCATAGGGCTTCATTGACTGAACTTGTCTTTTTTCAAGATTCTATGTTATTGCATTGCTTTTGCTATTTAACTTCTTCCCAAAAAAATGCTATCGAAAAGAAATGAACTCCCCGTCTCCATGCAGCTCGAAATGTATACGAAGTACAAAGAATATCGTGGTCGCGTGAGATTGTAGAATTAATGCCCTCTGAAGGCATCAACCCCTGCGCTGAGCGCGTGTTCGGGTCAAAGGCTTAGCTTGCTTAGCCTGCTTAGCTGCTTTGGTCACTTTGGTGTCATCCGAAACCCGCTTGCGCTTGGCCGGCCGGCCAGGGTCAACATGAAGATGCCCATGCTCGGACAATGCGGTCGTGTTTTTCCAGCGCAGGCAGCGGGGACTATTCTCATTCACTTCCACATAGGTCTTGGTCCGGGTGGTCACGCGTTTGGCTGGGATGTCCTCCGACTCAGCTCTATCAGGCGTCTCGGCTAGGTACGCCTTGCGATTCTTCATGTACTTGGCGATGTACTCTTGCTGGATGAGCAGCTCCTTAAGCAACTTGGCCTCCCGGTTGCCGCGCGAGTCCAGCCACTCCACGAGCTGTTCAATTGCCTCGGGATCCTCATAGTAGCCCCATTCACGGGCATTCGACAGGTGGGTTGATCCTTCTTCGCTCTTCTTGCGCTCTGCAGGTGTGGTTTGGAAATGCTTCTGGTACTGCTTGCGTTGCTCGTCGGTCACGTCGATGAAGCCGGCATACTCCATTTCATCCGGACCTTGAACCCACAGACGGCCATTGGCATAGCATGCCTCGGCGGTTGAGCTTTCCGGCATACCCTCGTAGGGCATCGCATTACGCTCAAACCACCAGTAGCGATTGCAGAAGCGATCCAATCCAAGGCATCGGGTCCGGGGGCAGTCGGTTTCGCGAAGGCTGTTCTCCACAGTCTCGATCTGATCCTGGAGCTTCTCGATCTTGGCCTTCTGCTCGTCGATCTTCTTCAAGACTCGCTGGTATTGCTTGGAACCCTTAGGCTGCTTCGCCAATATCTCCTTTCGCTCCTTTTCCAATTCTTGCTTCCGTTTACGCTCCAGGGCTCGATCAACCCCTCCACGTAATGAGCGTGGTCGAGGGATATCCTCGTCTTCTGTATCCCCGACCATTTCAGAGTCCCCTTCCAGGCCAGTCAGTCGAGAATCATCTAAGCCGTCCAATTCAGGTACCGGTGTAGGTGACTTCCCAGCCTTTTCGGGTTCGGGCTGAACGGCCTTGCGCTCCTGGTGCAGCTGGCGAAGCTCGATGAGTCTGAAATCTGATGTTAGCGGTTGAGATGGTAACGGTCAATGATTGACTTACCCTGCTTTGCGCGCCTTCTGGTACTCGATTTTCTCCTTGCGCAACTCTGTCATCTGATTGCTACACTCCTCTAGATAATTTCGGATAGCCTTGGTCTCCAAACTCAACATGCAGATCATTTGGAGGACCTTGGTACGCAAATTGATGTCGAGTGTTTGGTACTGCTCCTGCACAGTGTCCTGTGTGGGCTCGCGATCGAGAGGTGCCAGATGCTTGAGAATTGTGTTGCAGACTTGCTCCGAGCGAGGACGGATAGATAGCTGGTGCAAAATTCCAACTATCACCAATTGCCATCCACCGTTGCGGAAATCGCGCTTGCGGAGACGATCAATCCAACCATATTTCTCAAACATTTCGCCGGCGCGATGAATCTGCGTCTCCTCGGATTCATCTTCCTTAATCTGTAATTTGATGGTGACTGCCTCTTCCTTGGCCAGGCTTCCTCTCGTGGTCATTCTCTCAGGCTTCGCCTGCGGCTCTGGAGACTCTTCCTCTTCTTCTTCTCCATCTTCTTCTCCCTCCTCTTCGGATTCATCGGAATCATCAGCAGGGAAATCTGGGAGTGAGATTTGAACAGCTCCATCATCGTTCGATGAATTGACAAGCTTTTTAAGAACGGCACAATGCACTTCAACAAAAAGCTCGCAATCCACTTCATCTGATGAGAACCGCATGGCTTGGATGAAATCGTCAAAGGTGAAAGAGTCCACTTCAAATACTTCACAGTAGACATTGAGTGTGTCCCAGGTCTCCAGGAGCAATCCCACTGTTTCCGGCTCTAGATCATCAGGCAGAAGGTCCTCCGCACCGTCGTCTTCAGACTCACCTACCATCATAAATTTCAGAGTTGGCCGGTGTTGCTTTTCAGAATTAGGAGCAAGGTCCAGGTCTTCGATGGGGTATTTGATCGGTGGCGGGGTTGGTGCTCTTGGCTCGTTCTTGACGACCACAGCCGGGAGTCCAGCAAGCTTCCTATCGCCAACCAGTGGCGGTTTGGAAGGGCGCAAGGGATTAGAAGGAAGAAGGAATGATGGGTTACCATTCAGCGACCGCTGATACTCCTGGTACTGCGCCTCCCGTGATTTTGCCATGTCCTGTGCAGACAATTTCGACTTCTGGCCCTTGACTGCGGGTTTCAGCTCGGGCAGCTGCTGAGAAGAAAAGAAACCAAAGAAGCCGTCTTGGTCCGCTTTCTTCATCGCCTTCTTCTCTGCCACCTTCGCACCATACTGCAGATGCTTAGGTACCTCGATCGGAATCTTGTATGTCTCTGCGACAGATGGTTTGACCAACCAGGGGGCACCTGTCCAGGACTCTCTGGTGACGTTGTTTTTGATAAATCCGCGCAGCATCAATTTAGTGAATGCCTTTCGGTCGCGCGTGATGTGGTCCTGGTCCAGCAGGGCCTCTTCATTTTGTCGATCTAGGATTTTGACCAGATACCTGGCAAAAGCAGGTGTTTTAATAGTTCCATCAGCATATAACTGCTCTGCAAAGTTTGCCTTGTCTCTGATGGTACCATGAAGGCGACTGCTATCCTCAAGCAAAATGAGAACGGCTTCGCCTGGGTAGAAGTCTGATTTAAATTCCTAGGTTTGTTAGATCAGTTGTTAGATAAATGGTGGGATTATCTCACTTCATAGATTTCATCCACTAAGAAAGAGTGATGTTAGCTTGATTCAGACTAAAAAAGATAGGAATAGCATACCCAGACTGTCCACCCTCGAAACTGTAGAGAACTGAATTCTGCGCAGAATAGGTTCTCTCAGCGCATCGGGGAAACTGTTGTTGACTTCACGCGATTCCTCCGTCTAGTCAAGTCTTAGCATGTGTCCATCACTCGGTGCCCGTGTTATAATATACCTCACTGCGGAGCGCCTCGAAGAAGGTCAAGCCCGAATGGCCGGTGATCTCGCAGATGAATCGGCGTTGTTTGTAGAAGTCCATTCGCTGAAGGTAAGGCTCGTAACTGGTGAAGACCTCATTGGTCTCCGGGATAACCCAGACCTAGGAAGAAGTCGGGTCAGTGGGAAAGTCTGCAATATGGGTAATAGCGATACATACCTCGGAGCTATCATCTTCAATGACAGTCTGTGGGAGATATTGGACCGGTTTGCGTTTGAATAACACCTGTCCATGCAATTGCGTAAGCCTCTTTGTGTCCGTAGCATCCACCACTTTCTTCTTGGCACCTCCGCAACCATTCCATCGGATAAGGTATTGCATACCATGATGGTTTAAATATTGAGTGTGAACGCGCCAGTCGGCCGGGAGTTATTGTGTGCAGAATCGAGCATGAACGGGACTAAACAAAACGCGATCTTAGTTAGCGAGTGAAGCTTGTCGATTGTGTGAAGGTAAAGACCGCGTCAGACATGCAATCGGCGGAGGTATTGGAAGCTGCGATATAGATTGCAGATGCTCCAGTTGCTCTAGTGCACCGTTGTGTGGAGAGGTGGCGGTTGTGGGAGGGAATTGTCGTGATCAGGCCTGGTCGCAGACCCAGAACATGCGAACAGTGGAATAGCTCGTGAATTCATGCGGACTTACCGGAGTAGAACGCGTCCTGTATAAAGCGAACCAAATGATTCTGAGATGATGGACTGCTATAATATCAGGTTAGGGGGGAGAAAGGTGTGAATATTTGAAGGTGTAAGAAGCAGGAAAGAAGAAAGGTAGACAAAAAGGAAGCGGTAGATCATTGCAGGACCGCGAATCAGCGGTGGAAGCTGATTGGTGGAGAGGAGGAGCAAGCGGGAGCCAAAGCCCAGCAGAAAAACGCTGGGCTTTCCTCGGGACCCTCGACGCTCCCTACTCCCCTCGTCATCTCCCGACTATCAATTCTTTCTTCTTTTCTTTCCCAACTCTACCCGTATTTACCCTCATTCGACTCGTCTGATTCAGGAGATTTTATCTATAGCCTCTTCATTTCAAATTACTCTGATATTTCTATTCTTCAACTCGATTATCACTTTGTTTCTATTCTGAGCCTCCGGGCTAAGATCGGAACAATCAATTGGAACTAACCGGACCATGTCAACCACCAGCTTTGTTTGTATTTTTAACATGAAACACCAACCTTTCAACAATATTCTCTTTGGCTTTAAATGTTCAAGTCTTATTTGTTCACCGTACAGTCGTCAACCTACATAGGTCATCATATTTCATACTTACAATATAACGAGACCTATTTTGAGAATAACTGTATCGCATTAAAGTGCAAGTCATGATTATCAAAGAACTTTGTATGTATATTATAGATCCTATATCGGCTAATAACTGTCCATCATCTTTATGGCTCTAAAGCAAGTAGCTATGTTTGGTATATAGATTTGATACATCTTCAGCCACGGTGTCACAAGCGCATTGGCCACCCTGATGTCTATTGTTCAATAAGGGGTACTTCTGTATCTACACTTGCTAAAGTTAATACCTCTTTCTTTTACGTGTCATCACACTCCTTTTTTGTGATCGCTTGGTTGTCGCGCGGCTAGACGTGAATAACAAACATGCTATGTGAGACATATACCACCACTAACTATCATTATGGGTATGGATGCTTTATACTTTGCTATCTTTACAACGTGCTACTTGTGACTTCTTTGGATAAATTACCCTAAATACATCGTTAATCCTAGACAGAAAGTAGGAAATCGCATTTGGACATGATGCATGATCAGAAAAGAACCTCAACCACATGCAAAAATATATATGTGCTATAAACATGCATTTTCACGACTAGACAATTACCCAGGCCAACACTAAGATCAAAGAGATAAAAAATACTTATATATTTACACAAATATTGCCAGCACAGTCCTTTAATGGAAACATATTCTTCCGCCATGTTTCTATCCGACCTGCATTTGGCTGCAGGCCAACCATGGATGAAGGTAGACTAACCAGATTGGGCCTAGTGGGAGAATAGACTCCGTGATCCGTGGGTCCTATCCACGTGGAAACAAACAATGCAAACCTCCGAGTGATCTTGAAGTCACCTCAAATGACCCAAGTTTGTAGTTAACAATAGATAGTTAAAGATGTAAAATGGTTGTTGATTCCAGCTAATTCCATTAATTTAAGATGTAAAATAAACCACCATGAACCCAACCCAACTTCCGACCACCCCGAGGGCACAATAACTGCTCATGAACATCAATGGCAGGAACTCTAGCCGGTCCCATCCGAAGATCAACTGGTGCCCCAGGGAGCAGTAGATAATTAAAGGAATGGAGATGGTCAAGTAAAGCAGCGAAAGCCGGTCGAATAGGAAGATTCGGGGTCGCTCGGGGACAGGGGCAACTCGGTCGAAGACGAAGAGGAACAGCACCAACCACATGACTGTATAGATAGTCTTGATGGGGAACTCCGCTGCTGTAAACAGCAGGGGAAAGAGTGAGACATGTCCTGCAACTGCCAGAGGTCGGAAAGCGCTGAAGTAGCGACGGTCCTTGAGGGCGATGAGACTGAATGGGATGATAATGAGAAGAATGGCTTTCTCATGCACATGCCAACCGAAGAGGAATGATGCGTAGCCACAAAGGGTGATCGCACCGACAAAGGTATCCCAACAGCCTGGGTTGAACCAGACCTTGACAAGAGGAATCTAGATAATTGTGAGAAAAGGCCAAAGGCATAAGATGAGTAGCACATACCAGCTGGAACAAGAAGGTCAATATGAACGTGTATTCCTTTGTGATCTCCGGGAGGACGGCAAAAGAGGTGTCTCCCACCAGTCCTCGTGTGACGCTGTTTATAGCATCAGGGTTCACGGGAAGCCCTAGCCGTGGAGCAACTGTAGAGATTGTCAGATACGCTCATATGTCGTGTTCGCTGGGAGAGGCAGAAGCTACTTACGGGAAATCAATGCTCGATCAGCGAAAGAGTACATCGCCCAGATATTTGGCGCCCAGTACGCGTGACACAGCCCTCTCGAAAATGGAAACAGCCTGTCCTTGATCTGCAGCAGTTGTCCCCATTGCGCAAATGGCCCAAAGGCAATTGCGAAAACGCCCACCACGCAGAATCCAAGTTTGAAGATATTGCCGAATCGGGGCCGGAAAATCGATTTGAGACTAAGGCAATAGGTGCGCAGCAAATAGACGAAGTAGGCGAGAGCGAGGTAGAGGTATATGTGCTTCATGCACAGCAGCACCGCGAAGAGGATACCGCTGTAGAGAAGAGTCGATTGCTTGCGAGCCAGGACAATCGATAGGATCAGTATTCCATACATGAAGCCATTGTATTGGAAGTGGATATGATCAATAATGAGGAGACCGGGGGATAGCAGGATAGAAAGACTGGCCACATGCGCAGCCTGCTTGTTCGGCAAAGGAGCGGACTTGACGAATCTATCGAACAGCAGTTAGAATTCCATTGCATCAACAAAAAAAAGACAGGATCGAGTGCCATACCGGTTAAGCGCATAGACAAGAACCAACTCCGTCAAAATCACAGTTGTTCTTTGAAAGTAGACAGTCTGCCAGGAGTCATAGCCAAGGTTTTTCACAACCAACATCGCAGTGTCCGCGTATGCAGCAGCCTGCGACAACAGCCACTCGAAGACTGCGAAGAACGGGGGGTAATCGAGCGTCCATTCCGAGGATTTCTAAACCAGCCCAAGTCAGCACTGGCCACGCTTTCCCAATATCATGCGTTAGACCAAACATACTTCATAGTACCATTCTTGAACTGGGAGAGAATGGGTGATGGCAAGCCAATTGCGATGGACCTCAAAATCGGTCGATTTGCTGTAACACAAAAAAGCATATTAGCGAAGCTCATTTAGTAACCCCAATATCCTGTTCCAAGGTCTTCTTGGGTGCCTTGCGCAGTTTCTTTTGCAGTGATTGTTCGTCTGTCCACACTGCCCGGTATTTTTTTGCTGCGGTGAAACGAGCGGAACTCACTATGCGGGGAAGAGCAGCACCTTGAAGGCAGCTGCAACGATGGCGCATTGTGCCAATGAAGGGTATAGGTCAGCCATTGGAGCTCCTTTGCATGATGGTGTAGCGATGTTGAAAGCTGAGAAGACGCAAGACGCAAGAATGCGCAAATCGGCGGAGTCAGTAGCTCCGCATGTTATTTTGAGGGCACGTGACTAGATGCGGAGGTCGGAGGTCAAATCAGGAGCTAAACACCTGGGCAGAAGGACAGATAAGTCAATACAACACATACAACGTCAAAAGAAAACACTCTCTCCGTATGGACTTCACAGACGTCGGAATCCGCCACACGATTCTCAATAGTGTACAGCTCCATCACTTCATCGATTTCTCGCCATCGGCCGCTGTTATCGCGAAAGAGGCCCGTCTCTGCGTTATTGCCATTGTTGTCGGTTGGATCACCACCAGTGTCGTCTCCAGCATTTGCAATCGGAAGTGTGACCGTGACTCAAGTCATAGCAATCGCTGATAGCTGCTCCACGAAACTTCCGCGAATCCATATCAACATTAAGCTTCACGATCCGTCAAACCACACAACATGATGAGAACATTAGCTTCCCTGGCATTGCTTGCCGTAGGGGCTACAGCCCAGATTATTGACAGCTCAAGCTTTGGCACCGGTCAAACGTTAGTATAGTGCCCATCTTCAGTCTTTGGGTTATAGTTATCTGACTTCAGACCAGGATATCACCAAGCCGAGACTCTATTCCCGGATGGGCAATTGGAGGAGAGGGCCATGAACCGTCCGTTGTGAGTAGGCCTGCCGGTATCGTCACCGAACTGATCTAATAGCCATGCAGCTATCAGACAAGCTCATCTTAACACCGCCGTACCCTGGAAACACACGAGGATCAGCTTGGGCACAGAGTCCGTAAGTGAAGGGCTTCAAACCATGGTATTGGACACCAGATAATAACATGGGTATAGAGTCTCTCAGTCGGAATGGTCAGCAGAGTTCCAATTCCGAGCAAGCGGACCAGAACGAGCGGGTGGAATCCTGCAGTTGTGGTATACCAAAGACGGCCAGTCCCGTATTGGTACCTCGAGCATCTATACTGTCGGCCAGTTCGACGGTTTTGCTCTGGTAATCGATACGCATGGTGGAAGAGTGCGTATTGACCCGTCGCGTATTGTCGCAGCGTATTAATTGACCTCTACTATAGGGTGGCAGTGTCCGTGGATTCCTAAATGACGGTACCATCGATTACAAAAGCCATAACAGCCCAGACAACTTAGCCTTTGGCCACTGCGACTACTCTTACCGTAACCTAGGCCGTCCATCAATCGTTAAGCTCAAGCACACCAGCTCCGTCTTTGAAGTCACCATCGACGACAAGCTTTGCTTTTCAACCAACAAGGTATGGACACACACTATAGCCCGCCGACAGCGCCACAGCCATCTTAGACATACTAACCCTCGCAGGTCACCTTGCCCGCTGGAAACACCTTCGGCATCACAGCAGCCACTCCCGAAAACCCAGACTCATTCGAGATCTTCAAGTTCATCCTCGCGTCTGCCGCAGGCCAAGGATCGACAATTCCCTCCAACCAAGGCAGCACTCAGCAGCCGATTGTCAACCAAATTCCTGATCAGCCCCCTCAACCTATAATCAACTCAGGCACCGAAATGTCAATGAACGGCTTGGCTGCCCAGATTGCCGACCTCAGCGGGCGCATCCAGCTAGCGGGCAAGGCCACCAACCTCATCCTCCAGGAAATCAAGAACCAGGCCCAGAAGGCCGATGAGCGTCATGCAGAACTTGTCCAGAAGGCCCTGGCCCAGGACCGCCAGCTCGCCCAGTTCGACTCCCGCCTCTCGCGCGTCGAGCAAGTGCTCCAGGTCGTCCAGAGCGACCTGAAGAGCGTCGCTTCGCAGAGCAAGGATTACAGTGGACGCTTCAACCAGCTCCACGAGACGCTGCGCTCATCCCACCTCAGCCTGAGCGAGAACCTGCAGGGTCATCTGCTGAGTGGTAAGTCCGCTTGACTTTATTCGGATGATTTATTCGTTCAATCTGCTAATCGCTTTTCTTTCATCTTATAGTCATTACGGCCTCCAGCCCGCGCATGGGCTTCTTCATCTTCTTGCTGATCGCGTTCCAGGTGGTCCTCGTGATCTCCTACGTCGTCTACAAGCGTCGTCGGGCCAACATGCCCAAGAAGTTCCTTTAAGCGCCCCGTCCTGTCCCTCCCTTCCCCCCACCCCCCTGTCCCACCTGAAGCTATGTCGCCTGAGGTTATTGTGTGATGGGGGGTGGGGGAATATTTACAATATTCAGAAGTGTGGCCTGCCCGGAGGTCAGCGCCGGGATTTATTCTTCCAGAAGTTATGTATAAAGTACGAATATCATTACGTTCATGAGAAAATTTGAGAGTATATCTGAGAGTAATTACATCTACAAGTGAGAGAAAAGTGAAATGACAACTATTCATTTGGCCTTTGGCCCATGCTATCGTACACGTCCCTCCGAGCCACCCGACCACGCAAATTTTTTTTTTGAAAAAAAAAACGAGTTAGAAAAGAAAACAGATTGGTGGCCGGGCGGCCCGGAGAGACAGATTTGAAGAAATTTGAACGATCGCCTCCCCGGCGATCGTGAAAATGAAAAAAAAAAACACGAAGTCGTGAAAATTCAAAACGCCGGGTCCCATGCGCGAATTGAATTAAGAGCCCCCCTGTGGGGGGCTCACTTGGACTTGGTGTATTGGCGCTTTTGCGCCCGCTCTCCCCCAGATCCCTGGTCATCGGCACGGGATCGCTTGCGATTGAACACAGGGATCCGGGGGAGAAGCTCGGAGTCGGAGTGGTGCGACTCCGGAGAGCCACCCTCCTTGGGAGAGGTGGCAGCGTGAGAGGAACCGAGTGTGGACTCCTCATCAATACGGGAGAGAGGCTTCTGAGCAACGGGCGAGGTAGGCCCGGCAGCCTCGGCGATGTGACCTTCGCCAGTAATAGGAGCAGAAACAGGAGCAGTAGCAGGAGCAGGCATGCTAGCCATGCTCAGGAGGGCAGCGGCAGCGTCAAATTCTTCAGTGGAAACAGGAGCGCCGGCGATCATGTTGTTAACAGCGTAAGAAACATTCTGGGTGAGATCCGCGGGAGGACGGCTTTGTGTGATGTTGTTGGTAATCCCGGCATCTTCAGTACGGTTGAGGTACTCATTGGTGAGTTGCTTGGTCAATTCCAAGCACTTTTGTTCGACAGCTTTGGCATACTTCTTTTGACGTTCATGGTGATCATCTTTGACAGCACTGATGAAGTTCAGGACGACATCACCGCCCAGGTAGCGGGCTCTTTTCTCTCTCCAGTCCTCGTCAAACAAACTCTGATTTGGGTCATCAGGAAGCATGATGTCACAATCAATGGACGCCATGTTCTTGGTTCGGCGCACACGGCGAACACGCTCGTTGCTGCCATTAAGCTCCTTGGTGGCAATCATATCGTCAGGAGTGACATGGTTAGGACACATCCATCCGACCTTGGGGTTAGGGGGATTTGCGCGAGGGGGATCAAGGCAATCCAGATGGAAGCGGCAGGGACAGTAGTCGCAAGTAATAATGGGACGTGTACCTTGGGATGTAAAACCACACTTGGAGCAACGGATGCAGTCTCCCTTGTTGTCGTATTCTCGGAGATGCAACGGATTCGCGTAAATGGTAGGGCCGTCCTGCCTGGGTGGTTTAGTCAGCCGCGGCAGGTGGGGCGCGGACTTGTAGTAGCGTTGATGCTTCAAGTTTCGGGCATAGTCGTTATCAAAGACAATTCCTTCATCAACTCCCTTGAAATGTTCCTTAATATCCTGTGGAAGTTGGAACTCTGTCTTCTTGTAGTGATTGGAGTGCGCAATCAAAGTCGAGAAACTGTTGCGAATGGAGCACTTGGGGCAATGCCACTCTCCCTGTGGAGGATTCTTGGGATCCAAGGGAGGATCCAAGCATTCAAAGTGGTAAGAATTAATGCATGTGTCACAGCAGAGAAGATCACCACCTTTTCCACATTGATGGCAATCGTCGCTGTTGTCGGGGGGTTCACTGTAAGGTGTCATATTAGCAAATAGAAACTGGCCAAGTCATGCCAAGAAATCACGTACATAGAATTTGGCATTTGGCGTGCTTCGTGGCCGCCAGACCAGTCGTTGAATCGGACTGAGTAAGCAGAATTTGAAAGAGAAGATAGACTTGAGACTGTGGTATCAACAGAGAGCGACCGTGCACGCTGTGGGATATCCGGGCCCTTGGCCTTGGCTTTCTGGCGTCGGGAGACGGGCTTGCCGGTCTTGCGACCGATAAGCGAAGCGGATGGTGAATAGACAGATGGAGCCTCGGGCTCTGGACCTTTGACAAGAGGTAGATCGAGAATAGAACCTGGGGGATCAAGGATAGGAACTGGGGGATCAGGGATAGAACCTGGGGCAGGGAGGGAACGAGAACGATTGAGCGCGTCGATATCCCCATTAACACCAGTGCCAATGTTGTTCATGTTGTAGGGGTGTTGAATGTCATCTGATTGACGGATTGTAGAGCGGATTGCACTGTACCGGACAACCGTTTCCGAGTAAGATTCAGCTTGAAGGCGAGCACGCACAGCCCGCATCTTTTCCTCGTGATCAGGATCCATCTCCCACTTGCGCTTACGTTTGTAAGCATTCTCGTTGACTGGGCATGGCTTCTTGGGTCTCTTGAGCGGAGCGGTGTTCGATTTGCCGCTCAGGAAAGCCTCCTCAACCCGAGGACCACTTGTGTCGCGGTAAATGTCAGATACCTTGAAGCTGGGCTCTACGCCAAGAGAATCGGCAGGTGGCACGCTTGATCCACTGCAGGAGGGAAGATCGACTGCATTTGCTGTAGCGCGAACATATTTCTGATACCACTTGCGGGCAGCTGGTACAGAATTGCTGAGGGCGGATTGGAGGGCAAGTGCCATTTGCTCGGTTCCTCCGTTAGGGTGAGAAACGTTGGCGATCAAAGCGAGTCTGAATTCATCATCCACAGCATTGGACCAGAAGTAAAGCAGGGACTGTGCAGACGCCTCGTTGCCAGACTGGAGTGCATCGATTATGGCGAACTTGATGACACCCCGGAGTTTGGGCATGTCATATTTGTCGGAGGGACGGAAAGGAAGAGCCATCAGCGCGGTGATGTACTCGTTGGTGTCATCCGCGCTTGGGAGGGTAGGAGTAGCCGCAGCGGCCGGGGTGGTAGTGGAGCGAAGGGCCTCAGCGGCCGGGCTTTCGACAGCAGGCGAGATTGAGGCAAGTGCCGCTTCTCCAGCAATCTCAACATGATCATTATCGTCCGTCAGGATACCAACCCCGTTGACGGGGGAGATGCGCTCATCTTCATCGAGCGGGACGGTGGTCGGCACGGTCGCGACGCGTTGCGCCTGTTCAGACGGAGGAGCAACGCCAGCAGCTCGGTACTCCGCGATCGATGGGTATTCCCCGATCGGTCTCATTGCTTGAGGTGGGGGGGTTGGGGGCGTCGAAGTGCCCGGGGGCTTCTTCTGAAGCTTCCGTCGTTTCGCGGGTTGGGAAGAGCCCTGACGGCGTTCGGAGTGAGTGGACCCCGTAGGGGCAGGCGGAAGGGGTCTGGTAGGGTTAGTGCCACGCGCTCCATGCCCTAACTTGTCGTCAACGTACTGGGCAGCAGCTTCATTCTGCTTCTCCTTGATTGCCTTTTCGGCGTTGGCTATTCAAAAAAAAGTCAGTGTTTGTTCTCATCTTGGATGTGAGTAAAAAAAAGTGTGGGGTAAATCTCTCAGTTTCACCTGAAGGTGGCAACATCTTGTTCTCACTCATCTCAGAAGTGATCGGTTACCAGATCAGTGAGATAGACAGAGCAAGTATCATCCACATGGGAATGAGAAAAAAAAAAAGGGAATGGTTTCAATAATATAAGTGACTGAAATTGTGGGAGAGAGATAGGAGAGTATGTTGCCTCATCCCCAGGGCTCAGTGAACCAAATGACAGAGCACATCCCATCTTAGAAGTGACTGGACCAATGACGAGACAATTCATGACATAAGACAAGTGGCATAGAAAGGCCACTCCTCTTTGCCTGAGAAATGTGTAGGTCAAGAGGCAGATGAGGTGTTGTGCCTCAGTCACAACAGGAGGGACATGGTGACATGGGGACATGAGACTGGGGACAGGGACAAGGGCAACATGAGACAGAGGTGTATTACATAGGGGAATCTCCCAGCCTGTAGAGAGGGACTGGGGTAGATGGAGGAGAATCACTTACATTTCTTGTTGAGAAGACGCTTCGAGACTCGACGCACGGTCTCTCGAACGGCATCCATTTTTAACGGTGAGGTAACGAAATGGATTGAACGTGGAGAAGAAGAGAGGAGAGAAGAGAAAGAGGAAGAGGAGAAGTGGGAGAGAATAAATACTCTGCGAGAATGGGGGGACCTTCCCTTTTGGGTTAACGTTATTGTTCTTTTCATTGAGAACAAACGGGAACAATAGAATAAACGCGAGTCTAGGTGACATGTCGCATCTTGCTCGACACCCCGTGCCACCAGGGTGTCTCCTTTGAGGATGCCTACGAGAACAATAGCTCTTGTATTGATCTATTGATCTATTGATTCATTGAGAATACGAGGCTGCCTGTGTATAAAGCTTCAATGGTTGCTCAGCCTTAGCTCTATTGTACCTAATCTGGTTGTGTAGACAATCCCTCAGGTACCCATGCAATTAGACAGGCTCTATATTGACCTTAGGAGATGGGTATAAATTGATCATTGTAAGTATGTCTCACGGGGGAATGACTCCAGGGTAGGATATATTCTGCAGATATGCCAAAAGCCATGGTTCTAATGTGTCTGAGGGGAATCGACAGTCAACAGGAACGAGACGGAGATCATGATTATATTGCTACATCAAGACTCTACACCAACCAGCAAGTTGAGGCAGACCGGTTCCCTGTTATTGCCAGCCAGTAGACAAACATCACCTACATAGGTAGGCTAGGATGGTGTCCTAACATTGCATACTCTGAAAGAAAGCCACGGAAGACTCGGCTACAGACCTTTGAACATCGTCCTTTCGTTGAGTAGTCGACGATGGAACTGCACATGTAACTAGTTTTCATATTTTCCTCGAGTAACAAGCTGCCTCGAACAAATTACAGTGTGATTCAACATGGACAAGAATATATGCAAGCAATA